TATGTCACTCAAATATGAACGGAACGGGGACGTGTCATTGACAATGACTTGTTAGTGGATAATTCTGTGTTTTTACAGTTACTGTACCATTCAGTGTGTTCCCCAGTATTTTGTTAGCAAGGAAGAGACACAATTGATTAATATATGCAAAGCATTGCAGTTACAAGCTTTAATATGAAGTGAAACAATTGCTACTTGATTCCACAAATCGCAAGGAGCTACATGTCCCTGTTATTCTATTCAGGGAGGATACTCACAACTTTTTTTCACCGCCAGACTCACCCAAATTTGTCTGCACTTTTTTATATTCTTCAATATTTTTGAATATGAACCCTAATTTTGATAAACAGAATATAAAAAGAACTATTTTGTGAATTTGTGATAAAAAGAGGGAACTGGTAGTGAAAAGGTTAAATTGTTTTTTCAGTATATGTAGAACCTTATTCTGTACATACAAATTCTCATTGCTTGTAGGTTTTACCAGTGAGCATTATTTTTTGAATGTTTTTTCTAGCAAAATTTCAATGAAGAAGGCAAAGTTCTGAGCAACCCAGAATATGCTCATCTGTTTGATAAGCATCCTTTGACAAACACTGGAAAAGATACCATGGTGATCCCTGATAACCTGGAACTTGAGGAGGGTCATACCTATACTGTGGTTGTCATAGCAACGGATGAGTCTGCACAGTGTTCCTTAGTTTCCGACATTGTTACCATAGATACTACACCACCTGTGGAAGGAAGATTACAGATAGGTGCTTTCCAGAGTGTGGTGAGCTCAAAGATAATTCATATTCTTTAATTTTTTTCTTGGGTGATTCAAACATCACTTTATTAGTAGTTTGAAAATAACACACTGTCTTTCTCTTTTACTTTTCACCAAATAAAGCCTTTTAAATATTTTTCATATTTTTGCTAAAATGTTGATGAAGACCTATAACTAATAAGAAAATTATGTTAATTTGGTTAAAAAATTAACAAAAAAGCATAAATTTTGGTAAATAATTTTAGTTTTGAACTAACCAAAGGTGACATTGTTATTATTTTTTGATTATTCATATTATTCTCCCTTCAAGGGATAGGACAAAAAATTATTAAACCAAAAGGTGGGCATAGCCTGGCAGTGTTGTATCAATTCAGTCTATTCTTTTGTTCCCTTAAAAAGCTTGACATTTTCTCTTTGGTAATAACAAATTAAAAAAATACACTACAAAAAAAATACTTTGGTTCACTTATTGAATATCTGACTAAATAAATATACTGTTTGTATTTTGTTTTCAGGATGTTACATACACAAAGCAACCAGAACAACTTGATGTGACTTGGAGTGGTTACTATGACGACATAAGTGGTATACAATATTATGAATTAGCATTGTATGAAGGACAGTCATGTGAAGATAGTGGTCATTTAACTATAGTACAGGATTATATACAAGTATTACCCAATGATACTGACTATACTTTCTTAGACCTGCTTCTTCAGGTAAACTCTCAATGTAATATTTGTTGCTGCTTTCATTTCTGGCAAATTTCTTAACAATATTAAATTTTTATTTAGAGCAAACAGCCTTCTACATTAAATTTGTCTGCTGACTTTGAAAAATCTAAATATTTTAGTTCCTATTTGTGAGAGCACAAATCTTGAGCTTATGTTATGACACAGTGTGTGTGTGTGGGGGGGGGGGGGGTGTTTGGGTGTGTGTAGTAACAACATTGTAACGACTTAACTTTACACCAACTTGTGACAACAGGACCTACAGTGTTACGACCCTCACTATTTTCATAATTTCTATTAATATATAATTGAATTTAAGTAAATTTTGCAAAGCTTAGGTTGAGTAAAGGGGCGAAGGGTACAATTTATGTATGGTTCAATTTATATTACTATTATGGTTCAATTTATATTACTATTAATGTAATACCTTAATTCCCCCTTCACTAAACCTAAGTTTCGCAAACATTTCTATGTTCAGTCATGGCATATTCAACTTTTATTCAATTAAACTTAATTTAAACACAATTCTATGTTGTGTTGCATTGTAATTGAGTTTAATTAAACTCTAATTAAAATGCAAACCTATATAGGAACGTGTTTTAATCGAGTTCATATCACAACTATATTGAAAGTTAATTCAACTATATTAAAAGTTAATCCAATGTGTGTCGTTACAACGACGGTAAGACATGTGTGTGTGTTTGGGTGTGTGCGTGCATGCATGTGTCTGTTTGTTCTAACATAAATCTTGTTCCATTGATATGTCATCAAATAAGATTAAAACTCAGAAAACGCAAGATTACAATTTTCGCTTGAAATTCATGCATATTCAAAATTCCTTTTCCACATTTTTGTAAAAACAGTTACTGATTCAGTTGAATAGGTACATAATAGCTAGCATAATCAATAGAATGAAAAAGATATACTGTAAAATACCTTTTGCATTTTTGTATGGAATTTATTTTCACTGAGAGGTATTTTCACTAAATCATTCCTTCAGCAAAAATAGCAAAAATAAAAGACAAACAGTAATTTATAAATCTAAAAGTAGACTAATTCACCATTAATTATAAATCATTTTAATTATCATAGGATAGCCGCCCATATTATGTACGGTTGAAAGCTACAAATAATGCAGGACAGTCAGTAATTACCACATCGCCACCTATATTACTAGACGTTGTTGACCCAGTTGGTGGAGTTGTCAAAGATGGAGACAACTATAAAGTTGATAGAATGTATCAAAGCTCAACCAATCACATGAAAGGTGAGTAGTAATCTTAAACATTGCTTTCAGTGATGGGTCTTCTTTCAGTTCAGCTTTATGATGGACTCTTTGAATGTTGTACAGTAATCATTATCACATGTGTAATGTATGTATCTCCACAGTGTGATGTAATACAGGACAGATCGAAAATGGAGTTTGAAATCACATACTGTTATACTTTTTTTTCATTGTGTTGGTGTTATTTCAGCCATAGTTTCATTTTCAACACTCCGCCATTTTACGTTTTTGGACTGTAGAAATATATAATCACAAAATATCTTATCTTGAGTAAGGCAGGCACTCGTGATTACCGCCTGTGACTCGGATTGACTCTGGCAATAATTACTGATGTCTGCCTGCTGATGTCAACCTAAGAAAAATATAATAGGATTATATATATTTTTATTACATATGTACCAGGGTTTACTTTGTTGCACTATTGAAAATATACTCGGGATTTTCACTGTTGATATGCAAACAAGCCACAACTAATTTTTTTTGTGTAGTTTATATAGCTGTCACTTTCATCGGCGATATGCAAATAAATGTTATCAAATGACTTGATAAGCAACTCACAAAAGTTGAAACTGTGGTTGCCGTGGCAAGTGCATTCTTTGGTGTTGATGCTTTGTTTGTGAAAATAAATTCCATATCACTTAGGGCTCTGTTAATATAATATTACATTTCCATATCAAATGACTCATTGTTTTGAGGTATATATCTATTTGAGATACACTTCTAATGGAGCAAATAAAGTTTTACCATGTTTAGAATAATAAACCAATAAATCCACTTCTGCATTAAATTACAATTTTTGGTTGCAGGTGTCTTTCTCCACCTTCCAAACCCAGACAGCACTGCATGTCCTACAAGGGACTTTTCATTGGACAGCAGACCATCCAGTACTGACTGGTTATCCATCGTAGATAGTGGTATCTGGTCTGTTAATGCACAACAAAAAGTTATATTCTCAGATAATCAGGTGAGAATCAGGCAAACAAAATTCATTACTAATTAGAATGCCATAATGAAAGTTGCCAGGTGTATGTATAAACTGTAGTCATTCATGTATGTTGTCGTTGTTAACAATTTTCTTGTGTCCACTATTCATATAACTTTAACCAATCTTATTATTGGACCAGTACTGAAACTACACGTTAATGATTTCAGGAAACATCAAATTATTTCCTTCCTATAGACAACAATAGAGACAATATTTTTTCACTCTTTTTCGTACAGTTATTTTGTGTATCGCAGGAAATTTCACATTGACCCAATACATGTGTACTTTTATTATCACAAAATGTAAGAAAATATATTTGAATACTATTACACCTTTCTGGTAAGAATCTCATTACTAATTTGTAGGTGTCTTATTCTGCTACTGATGGTCTTTCTATCACAATGACAAGGGATGTCAACAAACAAGAAATGAGGTCAGCAGCTGTGTCATATGGAAGTCCGGATGTACATGTAGGGGGAAAATACCAGGTATGGTTTCTATACATTGTATGACATAAATGAATATAGTTGACTGTTCCTCAATTGATCATGTATAAATGCTAAATGAGATGCTGAATTGTTTGCATTACGGACATAGAGTTACGAAGCATTGAGTTACAAAAATGAACACATTCATATTTTTTAAACCATATATGCCCACTTTTGCAAAACTACACCTAAATTATAATTTGCTGTTTAATTAACAGTTAGCAAAACTTTGAGTTGCGGTCAACAGATTTTTTGTTTTGTTTAACGTAAGTTTCCCATTACTCAAAGTTTATTTAACCGTTAATTGAAGTTCAAGTTGGTAAATTTGCACCTTAAACAAAACAAACAATCTCTGTTGCCCATAACTTCGGTCACGGTTACTAAAAAAGACGGTTAGGAAACGCCATTGTTAAAAGGTGTGAATTTGCCTAATCCCTCAAGGATGCGTGTCGCGCTGTATTGCTTGAGATTTCAAGGCCCACCATTTTGTTTCATTTTTGTGTCGATCACTTGATGTCCCGCGAATTTGAAATTTTAAGCTCGTTTTCGATAGAATATCCACGTTTAGTGCACAAGCTCTACGAAGAACTACACGTACATTTCGGATGAGTACTCTTTGTGACTGTGATAACATTCAGAGTCGAGAATCGTCATTTATCGTTTTCACTGTTGTCCTGAAAGTAAGCTTGGGTCCCGGAAGAAAAAGTGACGCTAAGTCATTATTTTAAAATACATTATATTATAAAAAATACTACCAAATAAATTTTTAGTATACTACTGTGCGTACTTATGACGGTTGTATGCGATTTGGGGGCTTATTAGAGTAAATTTTATCGTTTTGCTTTCATGTCACTGTATCAACCATTTTGTTTAAAGTCTTAACACTTTTTTTGTAGACGCCGTAGAAATCGTTGAAAATGTATTCAACATGTTTCGCCTGTTTCATTAAATGCCTGTTTAATTGTTCTTGTCTGTCCTTGTTTCAGGTTTTTGGCACATTTTTCATGTTGCAATATTCAGCGTGCCGTTAAATGCGGTTTTAGTCAACGCTACAATTTTTGAACACATTGAATTGTCGGTACAATTTTCAAGCAGTCGCTTCGCCAAATCAATTTTTCGAACCCTTTGTAATCGTTCTTAATTTCATTGGGACTGCCTGTTGTTGCATATTTGGTCTGCTTAATGCATTTTGTAGAGCATGGGCGGGTCATTTCAGTTATCTTATCGCATATTTTGTTTGTTTATTACAGAGTATTGCATACTAACCCCTTTGGTTAATGAAATTTTAATTTCATAAACAAATGGGATAATTGCCAATTATCATATATACTGGTTAAATAAAATCGAAATAACAGTGGATAGCTCCCGTAGGGGGCGTCCTTCCCCTGTCATCTGATTTGCATACTTCCATTTTTAACCACGAGATTGATTCACGGTTGAAATTTGGGCTTGCCAAAATATCATTGTGTTTGCGGTGGAAATACATTGTTACCACCCATCAACACAGCCACCGAACTATTAGTGTGTCAGGAAGCTCTTGTGGACATCAAGAACTTCGTACTTAGTCACCTTGAGTAAAAAATTGTAGTTTTAGTAACGAAACTCAAAAGCCCGCCTTCAGTTTCAAGATGGCGGAAAATATGGATACCGGAGAGTTGAACACCGTTCATCCCAGCACTTCGGATTCAAACACTTTCGGACGAAAGTGTGAAGAGTGCCATATATCGATGCTCACTTACGATGATCACCGTATTTGCATTCCATGTGGCAGAAAATGTAATGGGCACATCAAAAGAAAAAATCCTACACAACAGTGGTGCGAGAATATGTTGAAGACGCACTGGCTGAGCAGGCGTGATTTTTTCTACTGAAGATACTACAAGCAACG